CCCACTGTGGGTAAGTATGACTGATTTGGGGTGGGGGGGGGTTAAGACTATCACATGGGGGACTATCTCCTGCAAGGCACCCACTGTGGGTAAGTATGACTTATTTGGGGGGGGGGGGGTTAAGACTATCACATGGGGGACTATCTCCTGCAAGGGACCCACTGTGAGTGAGTATGACTGGTTCGTGGGATAGATGACCTTTATTTTGTTTCATTGAATTTTTTTTGTTTGTGTGTGTGTTTGGGGGGGGGGTCATGTATTGCACATATATGATGAAGTTTTATAGTACTAATTTTTAAACTGAGCCACTGTCACGTTATCATACATATTCATTCATTCCTTCATTCATTCATTCATTCCTTCATTCATTCATTTATTTAATTAATATCATTTATATTTTTGACATTTTTTGGTATGAAAGATGAGGAAATGTGCTGTCATTAGTGTATATTTTTCCAGTATAAAAAAAGGAATTAGTACAAAATATTTCAAAATTTCATAAGTATAAGGAAGATTGATGGAGATAATTACCCCAGTGTGCAGCATGCAATCAGTTTTCAGTACAATTATTATTATGTATATATTTTATATTTTGTATTATCTTTTTGCTTTTTCTTGTTTCAGATGCAAACTTCATCAGCAATAAATTATTCAACCCCAAGGAAACCCTGGTATTCGTTAGACTAGTGAAATATGCTCTTCAGGCAGTGGACATATATACGGTGACTCAGACAACTTCTGGGCAGACTTATGTTAGACCTGCAGCGTAAGTATAGCTTATTATTATCATGATAAAAGGCACTTATCTTAAAGAAACATTTTTATGTCTGACAAGGGTAGTTTTCAAATTATTTTTTTTCATTTTTTGGGAGTTAAAAAAATTTTTGGCTGACTTTTGAGAAGACTTCTGTTAGACCTGCAGTGTAAATATAGCTCACTTATTTTAAAGAAACTTAATGCATTATAAGGTTTTTTAAAGGTAATTTTGTAATTCTGAAAAAGCATGGATAATACTATATATTGCAGCTTTAGTTAAGTAACTATTTTAATGCATTGCATAACTTATTTTTAAACTTAAAGCAAATTTGGTGGGGAAAATTTAAGAAACATTTTCTTTTTGGTACGTTTAAAGCCATTTTTATCTCTCTTTTTTTAGGGTCCAGACTGTCAGAACCAAAGAAGAGAAGGAGGTTCTAGAACACTTTGCTGGCGTGGTCAGTCCTAAGTTTATCATTTCATTTATTGATGGCTTTTCATATTTAGCTTCAGAGAACTTTCCCAATTACTTCAATTCACCACATTAATATCAAATGAAATTAAAGTAAAAGGAATGTTTCGTTGATTTTGTTCTTCATTTAAAATTAGTTTCTTTTTATATTTAATAATAATAATGTGTGTGACATCCATGATAATACAGTCAGATAGGCATTTACATCATTTTCTTTCAGTTCACAATGATGAACCCTCTAACCTTCAAGGAAATATTTTCTGCAACCATTGAGGTAAGTGCAGTGTTAAAGAAAGAATACAAGAAATGGGTCTAATCATGTACTTTCTCATTATTACGTATTTCATATTACCTTATGTTTTGGATGTTTATATATTACATACTAGACAAACTTTTGGAAGGCTTAGAAAAAAAAAAACTCAGTTGTTTTATCTGTTTTATTTATATAATGGAAATTTATCTTAGTTTTAATATTTATAAATGTTCTTAATTCTGTCATTTAGTAATTTATGTCAGTGTATTTATCCAACTCTTTTTGTGTAAGAGATTTCCCCCACACCCAGATCAGGTTGCTTTTGTCAGTATCTATTTATGGAGATTTACTCAAATAGAGAAAACCTTGATAAAATATATCTAAGTTAATGGGTTTTCTTTCAGTACATGGTAGAAAGAATCCACAACAACTATGCGCTGCAGATCGTGGCCAACTCCTTCCTTGCCAACCTGACCACCTCCGCCACGTTTGCCACGATTCTGGTGGAATACCTGCTAGCCAGACTGGAGGAAATGGGCTGTAAGTATCATGTCTATAACTAGGGTATAATACTGTGACAGGAATTCTGGTGGAGTACCTGTTAGCCAGACTGGAGGAAATGGGCTGTGAGTATCATGTCTATGGACAGATAAGTATGTACAGCAGTGTAAGTTGGGTATGGCAGATAAGGCATTAGTGTGGGCCCTGCTTAAAAGGTGGCACCACTGACAGGGTATCATTTCAATGGACAGTGGTGTCACTATAGGGTATGGCACTGGGGTTTGTAAGGCATGAGCCTGGGGGTGAACAAAGGAGCAATAAGGGTGTGGCAGATAAGGTATTAGCCCTGTCCCTGCTTGAAAGGGGTGCCACTGAAGGATTTAGGGCATATTCCCATAGATTTTAGATCGATCTATCCCCGTGGGGAGTCTCACTAGATTACTGTCAGATAAATGTCTGTCTGGCCTACTGCAAGCTGTAAGGGGGTAATTAACTTTTGTGCCCTCTCAGCTGCCAGCTATTTAGTGTGAACCCTAGTTTGGATCGATCTAGTCTCTGGGAATGGGGTCTTAAACACAATGGAAAGCAAGAAAGGCGCCATTGTAAATTATTTGTAGTGCTATGATTAAAAGATTGGTTTAGATTTTTTATATGCTTTTATGATAAAGATGTCTGAAAAAATAAATGTTTGTCAGATATTAGGATAAGGGTACAATTTCAATGTTTGCCATTGGTGTTATTTTACATACAGATCAGTGAAGAGTCTGATCATTCCTTCATTGATATAATATTATTAAATTATGAATTTTTATTCTGTAGAATATTAAAATGGTTACTTTCTTTTTCTTGTCTTCTAGCCAACATGGAAAGGTCTAATTTGTACCTGAAGCTATTCAAGTTGGTTTTTGGCTCAGTATCTCTGTTTGCAGCAGAGAATGAACAGATGCTAAAGGTGAGAATAGAAATTTATAGCAGGATCATATTTATAATGATTTTTTAAAATGTATTATCATTGATTGCCATCTTAAAATATCATTTACGCTGCTGTTGTGTTCACTACATCAGGGTAAAGACTGTGTTGTCCAGATATATTTTCTGACAGTCTTCCATATAACCATTGCTGATCTATTCTCTATTTTTGACTGTCTTCTGACAGAAAAAATTAGACGCCTGTCAATGTAAACTTGAAAATCTGACTGTCTACAATGACATATACATGTGCTGAAATTGCACAGCACTGTGCATTAATATTACGCTCACAAATAATAGATACATAGGTTAAATGCACATTGATTAATAATGACATCATGACCTTCAATTTTGTGCTTTGTGAGAGTAATCCTTGGTCATGAATTGAATTCTATTTTGTTTTTTTTTCTGTCACCAGCCGCACCTCCACACCATAGTGAACAAGTCCATGGAGCTGGCCATGACTGCCAAGGAGCCTTACAACTACTTTCTTCTCCTTAGAGCATTATTCAGGTCCATTGGAGGGGGAAGCCATGATCTTCTATACCAGGAATTCCTTCCCTTGTTGCCCAATTTACTCCAAGGTAAGAGATTTTCTTTTTTTGCTCTGATGTACAGGATTTATGAATGATAAAATGATTAATATGAGATTTTTTTTTCATAATATTTGTCTGTAGATTCTTATTGTTCCTTTTTTGTTGGACTTATATGTTCACTGAAAGTGAATAAGATGATTATGTAAATAGGAGAGTTTGTTCATTCATTTACAATAATGGATGCTGTATGATACTGAAGATTTGCTTTTTTATTTGTGTATTTGTAAATCTTGCCTTACTAGGCAAATTGAATCAATTTTAGATATGAAGAAGTTTATCATTTTAAAGGAAGTAAATGTGTTTTTTTTTCATGTGAAACATGACATTTGGACCTGACAACAGTAGCTTTGACCTCAAAATTGACTCAGTCAGTGTGTACAGAGATGAGATATGTTAGACTGTTGGCAGATTTTTGACTCTTTGGGTGATGCTGGTGCTGAAAAGATATCATAATGAGATCTGTCAGCAGATTTCCAACTTTTTTGAAGTCAAAAAGTCTCAGCCCCGTGTGTATGAATGATTATTTTAGTTAATATTTTCTTTCTATATCTCTATCTCCCATAGGGCTGAACAGCCTACAGAGTGGTCTACACAAGCAGCACATGAAGGATCTATTTGTAGAGCTGTGCCTCACTGTCCCAGTTAGATTGAGCTCTCTCCTCCCATACCTCCCCATGTTGATGGATCCCCTCGTCTCTGCACTCAATGGTTCTCAGACTTTAGTTAGTCAGGTAGGTGCTGATCATGTTACTTTGAGTTAGAAAAGCCATTGGTTGTGATTTAATTTTTAAGATCTTTGATCCAAAGAATAATTTGTCTGCCAATCAAACATACCACACACTTGACAATGGATTTCCTCCTTCCATGTGCTTCGCCAGTTCTTAAAATAAATCTTGGCACACTTTCAAGTGGATCAACTGGTTTTGAATGTGCCCAAATGGGGCATTTATTGGTTGCAACTTATGAACTGCTGGTTATTATAGTGGGGGGGGGGGGGGTAAAGTAGATATTGTTTCAGTTTAAAGATTGTTGGCCGGGGCATCATTTCAGTTGTCACATTGGTGTGTGTGACAATATCACAGTTATCACATTGGTGGTTGTGACGATATCACAATATTACATATAATTTGGTGGTTGTGACAATATCACAGTTATCAGATTTTTGGTAGTGGCATTATCTTAGTCATCATATGGGCAGTTTTGACATTTAACTTATCACATTTATGACTGTGGCTATATGTCAGTTTTCACATTTTTGGTTTGATATTATCTCATTCATCACATTAATAGTCACGACATTGTCTCAAATATCTGTGAAAGAAAAAAGGCGATAAAAAGCACATTAATTTTTGTTTTCAGGGATTACGAACTCTGGAGTTGTGTGTTGATAATTTACAGCCAGATTTTCTGTATGACCACATACAGCCTGTGAGAGCAGAACTGATGCAGGTGAGTCACATGGGTTTGCTTATTGTTATTTGATACTGCAGAATTAATGAATACTTGAATACTTTAGGACCAATCTGATAGATATTTCCACTACTTGATATTTTTGCTTTAAATCGAAAATAGACTATTTTGTGTCAGTATGAAGATGTTTTTGGCATAGAATTAATAATTATAGCTTTTCCAGTTAGGTACTTGATAATCAGTTTTAATTATGAAAAATAAATTGTTTTTTATTCTCTTCTCCCCTAGGCATTGTGGAGAACATTACGCAACCCACAGGATAACATTGCCCATGTAGCATTCAGGGTCCTAGGAAAATTTGGGGGAGGTAACAGGAAAATGTTGAGAGAAGCACAAAAGGTAGGCTAAATTTTCTTTCCCTAAAACTTTTAAATAAGTTTGAATTTTGTATTCATCTTGACCATCATTTTGTGTATTTGGTCACTACTAACATGGAGTCCATTTGCCATTGCTCATCAAAGTGTACAATATGATTTCTCATATCAAGGATGTGATAATTTAAAAGCAATTCTTAAACCAAAAAGCAAATTGGTTGTTTAAATCTTGTATGTGAATATATTGTGTAAATATATTATATTTTTATTCAGTTAAACTACAACGAGAAAGAGACAGCTGGGCCCAGTATCAGCATCTACTTCCAAGACTGCAAGACTCCCATTACTCTACCTGCAGAGAAGGTGAGAGAACAGCCCATATACTCTGCCTGCTATCTTCCATTGCCTTTATAACTGTATTGGAATAAGTGAAATAAAATAGGATAAATAAATGAAATGATTTTCCCCTTTTTCAAAACAAATGATTGAGAAGTTTTTTTACATATGACCACTCTGATTGGTAATATTTTCTGTTGTTTTTGTTTGTGCTTCGTGTATTTAGATATATCAACATTTTAAAAATGTTTTATGATGCACAGTTATATATCCAATTTGAAAAATCTTCCCTTTCGTCTCTTTGTGTGGTGATTGTTGCTGTAATAAACATGCCTGCACACACAGTCCTATGCACGTGCGTGCGCACACACACACACACACACACACACACACACACACACACACACACACTATCACTGTTAGCAGTGGCACTGCCAATTTTATTACTACCACAAACTGTGCAAGAAATCCTGGTTTTAGCGTCATCATTCTCTCATGTTCACAGGTAATAGAGCATGCCCTGAATGCGCTCAAGTCTAGTCAGACGGATTCCCACTACAGGCGCCAGTCCTGGGAGGTCATCAAGTGCTTTTTGGTGGCCATGTTGAATCTAGATGACGACAAGCAGACGCTGACTCATCTGTTCACACATTCAAGGTAAATGAAGGGTTTTCATGTTTTTAAAAGCCAACAAGCACAGACTGTTCCATTATACAATAAAAAGGATATATATTGATGCTAAATAAGCTGCCTGATAAAAAGAGCTCTTGAAAAAAATATCAAAATATATAAGTACAGTAAAATGCATATTATAAAAGCTTGTTTTATGGGGAGGTTTGAATATAAACCTTTTGATTGCCTTTAACAACTTGATAATAATTTGATAACCTCCTTTAGCCTGTTGTGATAAACTTAAAACCAGTCAGTGCGTTATTTCTTTCAGTTTCTCCGAGGGTGAAATAGCGTTACAGCCAGGTTCCCAGTACAGGAACCAGGATGACCATGCTCGCAGTGTGCAGGAGCAGGCTCTCACGGGAATGTTTGGTAAGCTCAGTCTGTTTATTTATTTATTTATTTATTTATTTATTGAGGTTAAAAACATGGTAAATATATAATTTGTCTTTCACATGGCCCTAATGAGGTTAGTGAAAATAAACAAATAAAACATGAATAAGTGAAAAGTCTGTTTCTCTTTCTGGTGAGAATCTGCAACTCTAATTGTGAGGTATTATCCCATTTTGATATCTGTTTAATTATATTATTTACATAATTCAATCTTGCCTTTCTTTTCCCTGTAATTTGATGTCATAGGGGTTGAATAATAGAGAAGAATTGAAGAATATTATTTAGAACTTTAACGTTGATGTTTAAAGATATTATTTAGGAAATGTTGGGTGGCATTAATGATGAGTGTTAGCTTTCATTCAGTGAGAATCAAGCTGCATTAAATGGAAGTTAGATTTCAAAGAGTCAAATTGCATTTTATAAGATGGCTGTTTTATTCATGGACAGTTGAAGTGCTTTTCATGAGAATTAGATTTCGTAGAATTAAATTGCATATACTATGAGATGTCAGTTTCATTCACTGAGAGTTAAGTGCTTTTAATGACTTAGAGTTAGATTTCATAGAGTTGCATTCTATGAGATGTCAGCTTCATAAACGGACAGTTCAAATGTCTTCTAATGAGACAGTGTTAGATTTCATGGAGTTAGGTTGCATTCTGTGAGATGCCAGTTCTATAAATAGGCAGTTTTAATGCTTTTTAATGAGTGTTAGATTTCATAGAATAAAACTGCATTCTTTGAGACGTCACTTTTATAAACAGACAATTCAAATGCATTTTAATGAGTGTTAGATTCCATGGAGTCAAGTAGCATTCTATGAGATTTCAGTTCTATAAATGGACAGTTCAAATGCTTTTTAATGAGTGTTAGATTCCATGGAGTCAAGTAGCATTCTATGAGATTTCAGTTCTATAAATGGACAGTTCAAATGCTTTTTAATGAGTGTCAGATTCCATGGAGTTAAGTTGCATTCTGTGAGATTTCAGTTCTATAAATGGACAGTTCGAATGCTTTTTAATGAGTGTTAGATTTCAGAATATAAATTGCATATACTTTGAGATGTCAGTTTCATTCAGTGAGAGTTAAATGGTTTTAATGAGTGAGAATTAGATTTCATGGAGTTAAATTGGATTTTATGAGGTGTCAGTTTTATAATCGGACAGTCCAGATGTTTTTTTAATGAGAGTCAGATTTAATGGAGTTAAATTGCATTTAATGAGATGTCAGTTTTACTCAAAGATGGTTCAAATGCTTTTGATGAGAACTAAATTTCATAGTCTGTTAAATAGCATACTGTGAGTTGTCAGTTACATTAATTTCATTCAGAAATGAAATGCATTTTACAAGACTTTAATTTCAATGTTTCAGTTGCCGCAGCAATTAAAGACCTGCGTCCATCAGTGTTACCTTTCATGGCATCCATGGTTAGACATTACACTATGGTGGCTATAGCACAACAGGGAGGTGAGTGAAATAAGGAGAGAGAGAGAAAGAGAGAGAGAGAGAGAGAGAGAGAGAGAGAGAGAGAGAGAGAGAGAGAGAGAGATGGGGGTGAGGGTTGGGTGAACTGACACAATTTAATTTTTCTAGCTTGATTTCAGACAAAGGCATAGTATAGAAAAATGTTATATGTTATACCAGTAACAAATGTACAAATGTACATCAAAATGTCAATGATGTGTTCTTTATCTCCCCCACAGGGCCATTCCCCATTGGAGACAAGCAGAGCAAGCTGCAGGGGATGGACCCCCAGATCCTGGTGGACGCCCTGACGGTCATCATGGGCCACGAGGAGAAGGAGCTGTGCAAGCCTGGTCATCTGGCTCTGGTCCTGATACTGGACACTGCCACCACCATACTGGGGGCCAAGGAAAGGGTGAGCTGGGGGCTGGGAGGGGGGGGGGGAAGAGAGAGAGAGAGAGAGAGAGATAGGTGGATGAAATAGAGAGAGAAGGAAGAAATGATCAAGCTATGGAAGGCAAGATTTAAGTAATTTTTTACCATTAGTGTTTTTTTAACTTCAAAGGTCTACTTTAGTCATGTTAACCTGACATTGATCTCATAATTCCATATTTTGCAGGCCTGTCAGTTACCATTGTTTGACTACCTGGTGGAGAGAATGTGTTCACTGTGCTATGACAGGGCCTGGTATGCCAAGTTAGGAGGGTAAGAGAAGCACTCATTTATTTGGGGATCTTGGGTTTGGGTTGGGAGTGGGGGATCAGAAGCTAATGGTCTCCCCTACAGGGTGCCAGGTTTGGAAGAAAGTGTGATTTGGATAATATCAGGGGTCACAGTGACAAAATGTCTATCCCTACCCTACTACCCCCCCCTTCCTACCCCCAAATTTCCTCAAATTTTATTGCATGCCAACATGCTGAGAGACCTTTGTCTCCCCTTTCTCCAATAATAAAAAAGAGAACACTTTTATATTAACATAAGAACTCCAAGTACATTTAATAAAATTTATAGACAATGAGAACCTTGTCAAGCAAAGCCTTTTATGACATATTCCATTTAGAAGCAAAAATAAGATAAATGTAATTGTACATTTGAACTGTAAGAAGGCAGAAAAAAAGGATGTGAAGTATTGAAAGTTGATGGTGGTTGATCCTATTTATTTTCAGGTGCATAGCAGTGAAGTTTATGTTTGAGAGGATGGCTACTCGCTGGGTGTTAGAACACCAGTTTGTGTTCCTGAAAGCTCTGCTCTTTGTCATGATGGATCTTACAGGAGAGGTAGGTTTTTTAAAATTTTCACCAATACTTTTGTAAGATTGTAGAAAAAATAGCTTTCGAAATGTGTCATGATAACAATAAATAAATAAATAAATAAATAAATAAATAAATAAAAATAATGCTTATTTTTATAATTTTGGAAGAATTATAAAATTGTTCCCACTATTTGTGAAATTTAAACTATGCTGTTTTAGAAGAAATATATAATTATATGTAATATATTCCTTGAAGAAAACATTCCATGTTAGCTCTCACTTGCTAAAATAAGTGATGTTATGAATTATCCTAAAGGCATTCAGAAAATTTAAAAAATTGTCTCAATGAATCAATCAGTAATTAAATAATACAACTGATCCTTTATTCTGCCAGGTGTCCAGTGGCTCTCTGGACATGGCCAAAGGCAATCTTGAACGCATGCTGACCATGTGTTCTAAACCTCTTGACCCAGCGAACACGGACGAAGAACTGACACGCGTGCAGAAGAAGTCCATCCACGATGTGACGCATGAGTTGGTGCGACAGGTGACGTCCCCCAATACTCTGGTCAGGGAACAGGTAAGGTTGGGATAAAGGGAATAAATTACATGAAATCTAGATTAAAATGAGAAAAAGAATGAGTGAATGAATGAAAATAGATGAGTGAATGAAATAGAATGAAGAAGCTTCAGAAAAACAAACGAAATAATGAAAAATAGATAAACATGAGTGAGTGAGTGAATGAATGAATGAATAAATAAATACATAAATAAGTAAATAAAAAGATTAATTTATTAGTTAAAGTAAATGAAGTAAGGGTAAATATTAAGAGAATGGATAAATGAATGAAAAAATCAATAAATAAATATTAAATTAAAATATATTATTATTGGTTGAACATAGGATATGAAACCAATTTCTCTTTAGCCATATGAATTGCTTTAATACATCACTTTTTCTCTTCCAGTCTATGCATGCCCTGGAGGTGTTGGCTAAGACCATGGAGAAGACAGTCACGGAGATCATGGAGCCACACAAAGATGTCCTCCAGGATATGATCCCACCCAAGAAACACCTGCTCAGACACCAGCCTGCCAACGCCCAGATAGGACTGATGGTGAGTGTGTGTGTGCATGTGCGTGTACATATGTGGGTGTATGCGTGTGTTTTGTGTATGGGTGTATGTGTGTGTGTGTGTGTAATTGTGTGTGTGTGTGTGTGTGTGTGTGTGTGTGTGTGTGTGTGCATGTGCATGTATGTTTGTGTATTTGTATGTATGTGTGTGTGTGCATGCTTGTGTGCTCAGGTAGTCTTACTTGTGTTCGTATGTTTTTATAAGCTTAACATCTCATGAATATTTTTTTCATCTCTGGCTGCCTAAGCCATTGTCTATATACCAATGTGTTTGCATCTAGTTATTCATTTTTTGGAAAAGATACTCTTAGAGTATATAAATTATTATCAGTGACTGGCAAGGAAATGAAAAACAATAATTTGCTCACTTTTTCTAAAAGAATTTGATATTTCCCAGGATGGTAATACATTTTGTACCACACTGGAGCCCAGGTTGTTCACCATAGACCTTAACATAGTGGAACACAAGGTCTTTTTCACAGAGGTCAGTGGGTTCTTTTAACCTTTTCTTTGAGATAATTTTCCTTATTTCAGTGTGATAAGATAAATTGGATGGTAAATGATGCAATAAGATGCAATATATATTTCAAGAGCTATACTGTCTTGATGTGGGACAATACATGTATATCACTCTGAAATATGTTCATGTGCCCCTGTGTTTGTAATGAAAAAAATTATTGTAATGATCACAATAATTTTCACATTTTTTAACAGCATATATAACGGTAACAGCGTTTTTAACAGTATTTATATATTTACTCTTTTGAATTTCCTCTATCAGTTGCTGAGTCTGTGTGAGGCAGAGGATGCTGTACTCCTCAAACTACCATGTTACAAGTCTGTCACCAACCTGGTGCCTCTGAGGAAGAGTGCTCTCAGTGAGTTAACCTCTCACCCTTTCTCCCTCCCTCTCTCTCTCTCTCTCTCTCTCTCTCTCTCTCTCTCTCTCACACACACACACACACACACACACACACACGTAGGCACACATGCACACCGTCTCTCTCTCTCTTCTATCATTTTTCCACTTATGTGACATAGGTATAGAAATCAGCTCTTGCTGGTGTCCTTATTTAGAGCTTGCATATGGGATAGCCAAACAGGCTTTAAGTTTGAACCATTAAATTTCAAGTACAGAATCAAAAGCCACGTGTTCTGTTGTTTCACTTACTGTATATTTTGTTTTATTAATCCCCATGTCTTCTCTCCTGCCTAGGAGCTCTGGCAGCCTGTCACTATATACCTCAGTGTAGAGAGAAGATCTTTAATGTCCTCTACAAGGCCCTGAACTCCAGCAACAGTGAGCTACAGGAGGCGGCACATGACTGCATGAAAAAGGTCTGTTAATAATTATAATTTTAATTAAAATTTTTGTATGATGTATTTATACCATTAAAAGTCAGTTGTTAATTATTATTTATTCTTCTATTAAATTCTCAATGGGCTTTACAGTTTAAGAGATAAAAATTACAATTTGCTAGTTAAAAGTATACAATTATGAATCTAAGAGTAACTTTATATGATGATAATTAAGAATGATTTATTGGATGGAAGATTTAAAGTCATAGGGACTACATGAAGAGTGTGATTTAAGTTTTTTTTATTGTCTTTTGTGTAAAGATGTTTAAAAATTAGATTGTTTATAAAGATACAAAACATGTTTTCCCTGCAATGGAGTCATGTCTCACCTGAAAAAAAAAGTGTTCAATCTCTTCAAAATGATTTGCTGTTTTTACCAATTTGTAGATTGTTTCTTGTTTAAGTTGATTCAGGTGTGGACACGCTCTAACTTTTTTCTTTTTCAATGTTTTTCTTTTTTTTGTGTGCAAGAGAGTTCTGAAAGTTATTAGATTTTGCACAAATTATCGTTGAGTTTTCTCCTTAAGTTGCTTTTTTGTTCTGTCACTTATTTTTAAGTTTCATAGTTTGTTCTCAAATTATTGTACATTGTATTATTATTGAAAGAATTATATTAACAACCTTTTTTCTTTAAATTTCAGTTCATATCAGGATTCCAAATTGACATTGAACAAGTGCACACTGCCATGAGGCCACTTCTGCTCATGCTTGGTGACTATCGCAGCCTAACACTCAATGTGATACAGAGGCTCTCTAGTTTAACTCAGCTCTTCCCCAACACTTTCAACGAGAAGCTGTGTGAGCAATTGTTGGTAAGTTTAACTGAAGGTGCACTTTGATATGTTTTGATTATTTGATTAAATCTTGTGTTTTATTCTTATCTTTCAAAGTCAATTTATCAACTCCTTGGAAAATTGATGAAAGGAATTTGGTTAAATCATTTGAATTTGATATAAATTGAATGAGATAGAAAAATTAATTGAATTTATAAATTAAAAAGAATTTAACACTTTCAACAAAGTTAACAATAGGTGGCTGCACAACCAAGACCGGGCCAAGTGTTGTTCTCATGCCACAGTTTAGTTTTTTCTCTATTAAGTGAAGTGTAAACATATAACTTGAATGTTCTTTTAGATTTCTCTTATTTCTATCATTTCTATTTTGGTTTTTAACCTCTGAATAAGATTAAAACTTAATCCTGTTCAATAATTTTCAAATTCAAATTACCCTTGTGTCAGGCTCACCTAAGGAAGTGGATGGACGTCGCCATCATTGCCCAGAAGGGTGGTCAAGCACCTCGGACCAATGGTCAAGTTCTTTCCAATGAGTTGAAGATCTGTGGAGCCATCATTAATATCTTCCACCTCATCCCTGCTGCCTCGAATAAGATGATTGAACCTCTGGCCACGTTGACGCTGAAAGGAGAGAGGGCGCTACTGATTGAGGTAAGGTCAATTAATGGGGAACTGTAAGGCAGTGTTGGAAGAGAAAAACCAGGTCATTAGCTCTGAGTTAACTGATATTAAGTAAAGTGCATGTTATTAATGATTTTTTTGAAAATGTTATGTTAAAGAGTGTTCTAAAAATGGTAGATCTATCCTCTTTTGTGTCATCCTTTGTCATTTATTATGTATGCTTTTATCAAAGAAAATGTATGACTAATCCCAATTTTTGAACATGAGTCTTTAAGTCCATTTTATTCAAGTTTTGTTAAAAAAATTGAAACTAGGAAAATAAAAGAAAAAAATTTAAGTTACTAGATTATCCCCCAAGAAATAAATTAATTGCAATGTTTTTCTTAAAAATCACTAGGCTGGTTCCCCATTCCGTGAGCCACTGCTGAGGTTTCTGAAGCGCTACCCAGCACAGACAGTGGAGCTTTTCCTCCAGGAGTCTAACATCAAGGAACAACAATGGAGCAGGTTCTTCTGGGTAAGTAAATAGGAAAATTTAAATGAAAATAACTTTTTTTATTGTTATTTGAATGTAAAATTTAAGAGCATTTATTTCAGCGTATTAAGCATAAAGATCTGGACCTAGAAGTTGGCAATGCTCAAAATTTTTATAAGATTTTATTAACATGAATACATTTGTTGTTCAGAGCAGGTATTATACAATCTGCAGGAAATAAGAATTTATCATGATAATGATATTAGTCAGTTGTTGTTGGAGAAAGCTAAAGATTCTGTGCCCAATGAAACCTTTTTCTTTAAGACTTGGTAAACATAATTTATGACTGATATCAGAAATTAATACATCGGAATATATTGATGGCTGTAGCAGAATAGTTGACTTATAGTGAAATGGTTCATTTCAGCAACAGCAATCAGTTAGATGTAAAAAACATTGGGGTGTTTAGTTTATACTTGTTCAAATTTAAATTGTTTTATTTTTTTACATACTCTAGTGGCTTTTGAAGAACAGTGATGGTAAAGTGTTCCGTGATGCTCTGGAGACTAACCCAATGCGTCTGGTCAACATGGCCATGGGGCAGGTACAGGTCAGTCCCGATTGTAACACTAGTGAAAAACAAAACAAAAAACAAAAATTATAACCCTAGGTTTGTAGCCAGCAGTGTAAAAGGAGGGGCTCATTTTCTGGCCCCTTTTCACCATTAATTGACCCGATTTGAGACTTAAAGAGTGCTATATCAGTAGAGTATTGTGTCACATGAATTTATTAGCTAGCTTGTCTTGGTCACATGACCGGATCACATAACAGAAAGGAAAGGGACTTCTAGTTGATCCGATGTGTAAATGAGTGTGATGACTGAATAAAATAGTGTTTTAATGAATTTAGACATTTTGTAATACAACTCTCCTTAAAAAATTATAATCCCCATGTTTTATGCCTCTCAGACTATCCCAGGCCACCCTCCAAGTCCTACAGGGGTCACCAAAGAAGAGCTGCAGTTTCAGGGTATACGTATCATCAGCGTGCTGGTCAGGTTTGACGCGGGATGGCTGCCCAAGTATCCCCAGGTTGTGGTGAATTTACTGAAAGTTTGGACTTCTGAGCCTTTTCAGGATAAACACAAGAAAGTGGTAAGATCTCTCTCTCTCTCTCTCTCTCCGTCTATATCTCTCTCTCTCTCTCTCTCTCTCTCTCTCTCTCTCTCCGTTTCTTTCTCTCTCTCTCTCTCTCTCTCTCTCTCTCCGTTTATCTCTCTCTCTCTCTCTCTCTCTCTCTCTTCCCCTTTGTTAATATATGTTAAGAAACTACTCTGAATGATGTCCTTTTTTTTACCTATATTTCATGAAGACATTTTCTCTTTTGATTTCAGGATAGCCTCGACTTTGCTCATTGGAAAGAACCTAAGCTACTTGTGAAGTGCTTACTAAATTATTTCAAGTAAGATTTACTTTTTATTGAAGTACTCTAGTTTTATGGTAAGTATATGAGATAAAAACTATGAAAGAAGAACTATAAGAGATCGTAGAAAATCATTTAAGAAACAGAACAGATTTGAGAGCTTCACACAATTCACAATGTCTTAATAATAAAGTATTCCTAATAAATCATTCTTCCATTTTTAATATTAAAATAAAATTCTATGAAATTTGGACCATGTTCTGGAAGACCCAAAAAATTGCCTGAATTGAGCACAATCAACAAGATTAACTGACCATGATTTATCTTTGCTGGAATTCCTGAGGGTCAATAAAAATATGAACATTGTTTTGAAAGACCCCAAAAATTGACTGAATTGAGCACATTCAGCAAGATATACAAGATATGCTGACCATGACTTATCTTAACTCTCAGGAACCGCACCAATGAAGTGGAGCTCCTGTTCCAAATGCTGCGATGCTTTGTCTTCAGATACATCCCACAATTCCAGTTCTTCAAAGACTTTCTGGATGATGTTGTTGCCAAGGTTAGTTTTATTTCAGTTGAATGTTTTTTACCCTGTAGATGTAGTCGATAAAAAATAATATAGTTACAAAATAGCTTAAAGACAAATTTGCACTAATTCTGTACTCAGAATGCTTGTCAGTAGTTCATTACAATGAATACATCCTCTTCATGATGTCCTTATCTAGTAGGTTTTCACTTGGAGATAAGATAAACAACAACAACAACAACAAAACTATTAAGCTTAGGGGCATTTTAAAATGGAAATTTATTTTTAGACCTACTCCGTGGAGTGGAAGAGGAAAGCCTTCTTCAAATTTGTTGACATCTTCCATGACAATCAGAAATGGTCACAGGATCTCATAGGAAAGGTAAATACGTTCTCCACTCTTTTCTTTAACACATAATTTTTAAATTGGTTGATTTTACAAAGATATCTTGCTGTCTGTTAATCTGTATTATGGCTCCCCCTGTAAATATAGTCATTGAACTAAATTTGTGCTGCCTTTTTATGTTATGTATTATGTAATGCCTTTATTGATCATTTATCCCTGTATGTAATGTTCTGCTTGTTAGATATTTACTATGTAATCATACACATACAGTGATGATAATAAACTACTACTACTACTACTACTACTATTGAAGGCTGGAGAGAATTGTCAAAGTCTGTTTTCACTGAGTGGATTTTAAGTATATCTTTAACAGGTAGCTTTGAATTTTGAATTTTATCTATGTCACTCAGAACTTATGATATAGTCTCCATTTATTTGTTACAGATTGATTACAAGATATGCGATAAGGTTGGGAAAATTTATGCCAACATTTCTGTATATTATTTCAGATTCTTCAGTTCATTTTGATCCCAAGTTTTACAACCTCCTTTGATAATGGAGAAGGGGAGAAACTGATAGGGGGACCCCCTGCACCAGACCAGGACAACCCAGACAACATCATCAGCGTCTTCATCAACAAAGTCATTGACCCAGACAACCCATTTGGGACATCTGATGCAGTTCGTATTCTGTTGCTGCAGTTTTCCAGCCTCCTTGTGGAAAGAGCTGCGTCCCACATTCATGATGCTGCTAACAAGTGTGTCTCAGTTTTTTACTTTTTTTATGTAACTGCTTGTGTTCATGTTTGTCTTTTTAAGTGTGAATCAAATAAATTGATATTCAAGTTTTTATTTTTGAAAACCCAGAATGTGTACTGTACTTCATTCATGGAACATTCAGCTTCTTATTTACAATGTACCCAGTATTTGTGTTTTTAATCCTTTCTGGAAAAGGTAAAACCAGACTGCAACATGTAATGACATGAGCCATTTCTTTATTTTTAAATTTTCTTTCAAAAAAATTAAAAGAACAGTAAGTGTATTATTACAGAAATGTTTCCTTCTTGTCTAAAGACATTTCCCACTTCTTTTAAATGCCTAATTTTCAGACAAATTTTGTTGTAAACTAACTTGTACTTCATAAATATTTCATTCATACTTTCTTTCCTCCTCTTGCAGAAAACAAGTTTGTACTTCAGAAATATTTCATTCATATTTTCTCTCCTCCTTTCACAGAAAACAAGGCAACAAGTTGCGTCGTCTGATGACCTTCGCATGGCCGTGTCTGCTGGCTAAGAACTGTGTGGACCCTGCCACCAAGTACCACGGACACCTGCTGCTGTCACACATCATAGCAAAGTTTGCCATCCACAAGAGAATTGTGCTACAGGTATGTTGATTATGGGGAATGACTTCTGCTTTGAAGCTGTTGTCTCAGTTTTATTTATAAGTTAAAATCTTTTTACCTGTTACAGTAAAACATTATCATTATATTTTACAGTATGAACATTATGGCTGCTTCTTTAAATATTTTTTCATTTTTATTTAAATTAAAGACATGTTTTTGGTGAATAGACAGAGTAAGAGAATTATAATCTAACAATAAGTATTTTGTAGCCAACTGAAAGCCCATGCCCTAGAAGCAGTTGTGTGCTGAGCTGTCATCTTATATGATACCTTAAATGTATTACATGTACTATTTGCTACTAGGTATTCCACAGCTTACTGAAGGCTCATGCCTTGGAGGCCCGCGGAGTTGTGAGGCAGGCGCTGGAGATTCTCACCCCAGCAATGCCAGGGAGGATGGAAGATGGAAATGTAAGTAACTATTGGAATATGAGTCAGTAAGGTGTAAGTGAGTATAAATGAGTGCATGTACAGTGTAGTTTGATCAAGTGGATTTCTCATACCCAGCACTGATGGAGTGTGCTGGCAGCTCACTTTCTGTGTTCACACAGCACTTCCTTTTCCTAGCTATTTTGGTTACAAATGCAATAAGTAATATGTTTTTAATTGTCATTTAATTAATTTAACTTTATCTATTCCAGGGTATGTTGACTCACTGGACCAAGAAGATTATAGTGGAGGAGGGACACACTGTGGCACAGCTGGTGCATATACTGTAAGTGTTCTTCTCTGTCTCTCTCTTTACCTCCCCTCTCTCTCTCTCTCTCTGTCTGTCTGTCTGTCTGTCCTGTTTTCATATTAATTTGCTTAAAAACAGTGTTGACAGCATCCAAGTACATGTGTCACTAAACAACAGTTGCATTTCATTGTATACTTAAAGTGATAATAACTCTTCGTTTCGGCCAAAAAATGAATTTTCCTGGAGTAAACAACAATTTTCCCATACTTACCAATGGTTAATGAATCCATTTTTACATTCAAAGTTAGTGCCTGGTTTTTTTCTAAAAAGTTTGGTTTTTTGTTAAAATCTCTTAAGAGATTTTAGCAGAGTATAGCCACCAATGGAGGTCACGTGGTCTAAAGACAAGCTCAGATATCAGAATAATAGCTATAACTGCCAATTTTGTGGTAAAATAGAATATATTATATTTCTATGAGTTATTCACAATGTTTTTATTGTGAAATATAGATCTCATACGAAGAGTTATTATCCCTTTAAAGTTTGGTAAAAGTAGGTAAAAATAACAGAAAATTTTACTCAGATAAGCAAATACAATTTTTTTACTAATTATTTAATATCAAGGCCTGCTTTTAAATTTTATGTGGGTCATTTGAAACAAATTTTTTTCTGTCACCTAGGCAACTGATAGTAAGACACCACAAGGTGTATTATCCTGTGCGACACCACCTCATACAACACATGGTGAACTCTCTACAGAGATTGGGCTTTACACAGAATGTGAGTACATGTGTGTGTGTGCATGCGTGAGTGTGTTTGTTTGTGTGTGTGTGTTTGCATGTGTGTGTGTGTGTGTGTGTGTGTGTGTGTGTGTGTGTGTGTGTGCATGCGTGAGCGTGTTTGTGTGTGTGTGTGCATGTGTTGTGTGTGTGTGTTGT